CCCATGCATTTGGAGATCTGTCTGTTCAGTTGCCTGTATGCTGTCAAATCTGTTGACGATTGCAGCATCATCTCCCGTCTAACAGCCATGAGATTAAGAGTCTGATCCGAGAGTTTTTGTGTTTTTCTGCGGCGGGTCTTGCAGAACTTAGCTCCGACCGCATGGACAGTTTCCACGAGCTTGTCATTCATATCGTCCACTGCATTGCAATCTTCTAGGCACTGAAAGCGGTTACGTAACTCGAGTTGAAAGGTTTCGGGATTCTGGATTAGAGCACGAGGGGGACGGAGCGTTGACTTCATTAGACGAGACCTCTCCAACTTAACGTTTAGGTTCAGTGTGCCTCTAACCATTCGTTGTTCGCTGCCGGTTTTCACCCTTGCGATCACTGAGACATCACTGAACAGTTGGCGTCTGGTCGTCATAATGAAGTCAATCTCAATTTTTGTCGAACCGTCGGGGCTCGACCAGGTCCACTTCCTGTGGGGCCGCTTCTGGAAGAAAGAGTTCATCATAAAGAGTCCTCTTTCTCCATAAAGTCAGCCAGCTGCCCTACTCCAAATTTCCCCTAACTTCAGCTCACCGCCTTCTCTTGTGCCTAGTTTTGCGTTGAAGTTTCCCATCAACACCGTGTAGTGGGTTTTGGAGGAATGCGTGGCTCTAGAAATATCCTCATACATTTCCTCCACCTCCTCATCGGGATGTGCCGAGGTTGGTGCGTAGACCTGTATGACCTTCAGTGAATACCGTTTGGTGATTCTGAGTATCAAGTACGCGACCCTCGTCGATACACTCCCAATCTTTACAACGTTGTTGACGAGAGACTTGTGGACGATAAATCCGACACCTCCTTGGGACAGATGGTCACCCTCCCGGTGATAGAACAAGTTGCCGGACTCGAGGATTACCGTGTCCTCCCCATCGCTTCGTACCTCAGATAGTTCAATAATATGCCAGCGCAACTTGTCTACCTCTTCTTCCAGCTCCAGTATCTTCTCGTCAGTCCTCAGGGTGCGTGCGTAATACGTTGCCAGGTCGAGTCGTCGTATGTGGCAACCGAACCTCCACCGGAGATTCTTAGCACTCCCTCCCCCGCCGTTACCATGGTCGCCACCGTAGCCAGGAATAGCGGGGCCGCCGGGGACTGGGGGCCGTTTATTTGTGTCGTTGCTCATGGGGGATATTTGCCATAGTTGCCACGCTTGGCGAGCGTGTTGGCAACCGCAGTTTTTTATTATGTTATTGTTGTTATTAAGAAGATGCTGCTGCCCATCTCCTGCCTGTCTCCCTCTGTCGCCTCTTACGACACCCACGGGAAGATATGGGGTAGTGGATATCCTCAACCGCTACTACACGGCAAGTTGCGTTTAACACTGTTGGTTTTGACATCTTTTTGAGTGTGTTACGTTCTATTAACATATCTCCTCCGGTGATTGTCCGGTTTCATAGTTATCTTTACGGCCGACGGCAGCATATTCGCATCGAATATGAGTTCTCATCTTGGTGCGAATTACGGGCTGGCGCGCCTCAAGGTGGTGTGCTGTCTCATTTACTTTTTGCTATATTCATTAATTCTATCTCTCAAAATATTACTTCTCTCTATCACATGTATGCAGACGATCTCCAAATCTACACTCAGTCAACTCTGTTAAATCTGCCTTCTGCTGTTGCTACCATCAACAATGACTTAGCGGCGATAAACCAGTGGAGTCAGCGTTATGGTCTAAAAATTAATCCGTTCAAGTCCCAGGCTATAGTTATTGGTGGTGGAGGGATGGTCTCCAGAGTTGACTAGAACAACCTACCCTCGGTGACATTAAATGACGTTGTCATACCCTACAGTAAATCTGTAAAAAATCTGGGGATACATCTAGGTTCTACCTTGTCGTGGTCGCAGCAGTTAAAACAAGTGAGCAAAAAAGGTGTTTGCTACTATGGGTTCACTTCGTCGTTTACGTTATTTTCTCCCCATTCCCACTAAGATTATGTTAGCACAATTCTTACTTCTCTCTATTCTCGATTATGCGGACGCAAGATATCTCGATTTAACTGAAGACCAACTGAACAAACTTGAGCGAATTCAAAATATTGCAATTGCGCAAATATGATCATGTATCCGAATATCGTTTACAGCTCAAGTGGTTACCCATTCGCTTTCGCCGGAATCTGCAAACTGTATCTCTTTTGTGTGTGTGTTGTTCAATCCTTTGACTCCAAGCTACTTGAAGGAAAACTTTAAGTTTCTTGGTTATGATCGACCTGATAGAGTTCTTCGGTCAGCCGGCGAACTAATTCTAGTACCATGTTCATTTCGAACAAAATTTATGAAATATTCTTTTACGAGCCAAGCCATAAGGTTATGGAATGAACTTCCACTCCAAATTCAACGTGCACAAACTTTGAGAAGGTGGAAAAGTGACGTCAAGAAGCATTACCTAACACTTTGTGGTTATTGATAACCAATTCTAGCAACAGATAGTTATTCTGTGTTTGCTTTTTTTTCCTCTTTGTTTTGTATTTATTTATTTATTATCTATTTATATATATATATGTATGCGTATATATTTATAAATATACCTATTTATTAATATATATATTTATTTTATTATTATTTTTTATGTGTTATTGTGGTATTTTAACAAATATAGTTTAGTTTATTGAGATATTAGAATGTAAGTGTAACATAAAACGCACCACCTCCTACTGTTCTTAATTCCAGTTTCTCCTTAGCCCAAAGGTTGTCTGGAATAGATCGCTCTTTAGCGATAAGACCGCCTTATTGTACATACGTATATATTAAGTTTTCTCTGTAATGTATTTATTCGTTGTATATGTGTGGTGTACAATAAAGTATATACTACTACTACTACCACTTATGGCGGCGAAAACGCATCATGACCCCTGGTAGTGATTGCAGTAGGTCTGGACCCGTGAGCAGGAAGTCGTTCTATCTCGGCGTATCTTTTTTTGTACTAGGGAATTCATTTGTTCATCATACTTCCTTTTTTAGACCTTCGTCTTGATCTAATTTTCTTTCAATGGAAACGAGCCGTTTTATTGCTGTTTCGTAACTACCAGGCATCTCGATATCCTTTTTCTTCCAGAGAAGCGCTGTTTCTATGTAACCTCCTTGTAACTGACGGGTGCTGCTATTTAGTATATCTTCAGCTTTCTTCTTTGGATCGCAGTCGGGTCTTCTAGGATTGATGATGAGAGATTCCAGCGCGAAATATTCGCGGAGTTGATCATCTATAGTCCCCTCGCTTTTGTGCAGCTCATTGGCCGCGTGGACGCGCTGATAAGGGGCTTTAGTGTGTGACCCGTGTAGCACCCATCCTTATTCTGTGAGCGAGGCGATTGACTGGTGCGCCGGACCTCTTCGGATTTGAGTGGCTATCAGAAGTCTCCAATTGTCCTGTCCTATTAGGATCCTTGGGTTGCCAGAGTCATATATTAGCTGCTCCTTTAGGTCTTTCAAGTGGTTGCACTTGGCTATATCTGCTGCACGCACAGTTTGTGGCCCCAAGTTTAGGCTTGCAACCGTGTGTGCTCTGAATGGCACCCTTTTGCTGTGGACTCTTTAGCGATACTTTGATTCTTCGGGATTCCGGTGATTCGAGGGTAGTGTTCCCTATAGCGGTGATCTTAAACGAGTCCAACCGCCCTGTAGCTCCAATTTGTTTGGCGATCTCTCATCCATTAGTGAAACTATTGACCCATCATCCAGCAGGGCGTGTGTGTTTACAGCTCCCGCCGGTCCAATTACTCGCACTGGAATTATTTTTAAATAGGCTTAATGCTTTGACACAGTGAGTGAGTTAGCTACGGTTTCTTGAGGTTCTTTTTGTTTGACCTCAGTCTTCTCCTTTGTATTATTATTGAGAAGTTGATTGTGTGTCGCTGTGCATCCTTCTATTCCACAATTACTGGTTTTACATTCTTGTGTCTGATTTCTATAACGTAAACAGCGGAAACATAAATTATTTTGTTTTGCGAGTTCCCACCTTTTGTTGATATCTGCTTTCTTAAATTATTTACATTCGGATCCGTAGTGACCCTCCTTTTCGCACACTCTGCATTTCGGAGACGGCTTAGTAGTAGCCGCGTGTGCTCTATGTACTGAACGATTGCTTTGTGCTTCGTTTATAATTTGCTGGAGGCGCAAATGCATTGCAGAAGCGAGCTTGCTCGGTAATAAACTCGCTGAAGTAGCCGAGGTCTGGTCTAGAGTCATATTTTTCGGTGTAGCTTCTACGAGCTCCTTTTGGAGCTCACTGAGGTCGACAACCTCCGGGGTTGGCTTTGTGACGGTTTTATTAAATGGGGCCTTCCCTCCGGTGGTTGCGCCTTGATTTGACTTTTGCCTTGATTTGGCTACAGAATTTTCGAGCCAAGATCGAACGTACTCACTTTTGGAGTGAACATCTTCATTATAGTCGTTCGATTCGCCTTCTTCTTCAGCCATCTGTAAGGAGATCTGCGCAAGTTCTAGTTTGATATTCGATATTTCTTCACGAGCCTTCAAAATTCTTCTATTGGGCCGAACAGTCTTCTTTGACTTCGTACTGCAATCGGTGTGGCCCCTCGGTGGCTCTTCGGTGTGGGTGTCTTCCCGGGCTGTTGGCGATGATGCACGGCTAAAGTTATCGTTACCTTCTATCTGTTCCCTCTGATTCGTTGTGTGGACCGTAGTGGCCGGCGCGGGTAGGGGTATCCCCCCTCGTGGGGGCAGCATGGCGCCACAGCGTCCTCTACCGTTGACGGTAAGCGTGGTGGCATCTGGTGGTGGACGGCGGCGTTACTGGCCGACGAATCTCTTTCCAGACCGACGTTCCACGCCTTGGCTTCCCTTCCTTGCGAACGGATGATCGGCATCTTGATTCTGAAAACTCTGCGGTTTTAATACGGTGGTGACTATGTACCGGGTTCCGAAATACAAACGGATAAATCCTGCACGAAGGACCATCGAATGGGAACTCCTGAAAAAGATAAAGGAAGCAATGAAAATACCTACCTGTCAAATATTCGCGTGGACGGATTCCACGATAGTCCTCTCTTGGCTCTTCGGGAATCTGTCTAGGTGGAATACATTCGTGAGAAACAGAGTTGTTGAGATCTTAGATAACATTGGCAACCAGAACTGGTATCACGTTCAATCACAAGACAACCCTGTTGATGCTGCTTCTAGAGGGAAGCATGTGCTAGATCTAAAAGATGATAAAATGTGGTGGAATGGTCCTGAATGGCTAAGCACAAGTAATATTAAATACAGCAGATCAGAAACCATAACAACGAACCTAGAAAGAAAGATCATATCAGTACAAGTAAATCTAAAACAAACAAGCGGAAGTTATAGTATAGCTACTGAGTTTAGCAGATGTGATAATTTAACAGAGCTATTGAAAATTATAACATATTGTAAAAGATTCTTAAAAGGAAGGGAATTAGGAAATAAGGAAACTACAATAACTACAATAACAAGGAAATTAGAAGAAGCTTTAAAAATATGTATAAAAATTGTACAAAGGGACACATTTGAAGAAGACATACAAACCTTACCTAGATCATGAAGGTATCCTCAGGGTGGGCGGCCGATACGTCACTCTGACCTTGATGAAAATAGTAAACATCCTATTATATTAGACAGTTAAAATCAGTTGTGTACACTTATTATAGTAACTGAAGTTCCCCTAAAGCAACTACACAGTGGAACGCATTTGATGCTTGGATATTTAAGATTAAAATACTGGATCCTGAAATCAAAGAAATTGGTAAAATTTGCTAAATCACAATTAATGGGAGACTCACCTCGTGTAAGAATTACACCTGCTCGACCCTTTTTACACAGTGGAGTAGACTTCGCTGGCCCTTAATCTAAAGGTAGAGGATTTAATACAACTAAGGCTTACATAGCAATTTTGTTTGCATGTCAACAAAAGCCATTCACCTAGAGTTGGTTGGAGACCTTACATCGGAGGCCTTTATTAGAGCTTTCAGAAGATTTGTAGCCAGAAGAGGAAAATGTGCACATCTATGGAGCGACCAAGGAAGAAACTTCGTAGGTGCCAACAAAGAACTTGTTACAGCTTGGGCAGACGCAAAGATGAAGTTTGATGGTCACATATCTGAAATGTTAGCACTAGATGACACACAATGGCACTATTGGCAAAATTGTATCAAATTTTTTATTTTCTTTTAACAATTTTATTGGAATATGTCTATTACTTGTAAAGCTTAATGAATTTTGGGTGTTACCTTTGTCAAATGTATGTACACATGTATATTGTATAACAAATATCATGTAAAAATTATTATATTTAGAGTGTGTATGAAATGTTAATGTAACATGTTAAATAATAAAGGACTTTATGAGTCCTTTGGTGGGCGGAATGTTCGAGCAATAATGTAATGAATTTGTATTGTATGTAAGATAAACAGTAAGCATGTTTGAGTGAGGTCTTTATTAAGGTAAAATGTAATTGAATCTTCAGTAGCAATTAAAACACCGTACCATGGACACCTTGTTTCTGTGATCAGTCCCTATAAAAATGGTGAACCTTAATACGACAAAACACCCTTAACTATTACTTAACTGTGGTAGAAACAGTTCTTAGTAAGCCTTATTAATAAGCCTTAGTAATATTCATTGAACGGAAATGAATACAGTTTTTATATGTAGTTATGAATGAATCGGTATTACAATAAGAAAAATTGTGCAAAATTATAAGAAAAATATTTTTGAGAGTTCTTATTAACTAACGTATACATAGTTAAAATTGATTCCGCTAGATGTCGTTACTAGGTTTTTGAACCGCGCGTAAACTTATAGTGCATACGGTACCTATACGCTTAAATTGTTTCTATTTCGTAGCTTACCTAGCTACCTGCCTTCAATTTCGGTTGTTTGTTATTTGCTTTGTGATTTGGTTAAGGTTGAATGGATTTATATTGACTTTTATTATCGGATTTGTGTATTTTCTTGGATCGGTTTTGTTGATTTGGTTGGTATTCCTTTATACATATTTCGACTCTGGCTTTGATTTTGGATTTTATTTATTTAGAATCGTGAATTGGTTTTCGTTGTTTTAGGTTGTTTAACAATATTTCAAAGGAATATAGTATAGATAGTGTATACGGTACCTATAAACTTACTTCTTTTTAGTTGGTTATATTTATATTGACTACTGCTTTCGATTTCGGTTTTCTGCGATTTGTTTTATGATTTGGTTTAAGTTGAATGGATTTTTTTTGGCTATTGTTTTCGGTTTCGTGTTGTGTCTTGAAATGGTTTTGTTGTTTTTATTTTAAAAAATAATTAAAAGAAATATTTATTCCTTTTAGATATTTTGGATTTGCTTTTAAAAAAATATTTAAAAGGAAATTTAATTACTTTTAGGTATTTTAACGTTTTTCTATAAATAGGTTTTTTGTTACTTCATAATGTCTCGAAAGCTTAAGTCCAGCCTTTCAAGAGTATCTTCTCAAAGACAAGCGAAAAGATTAGCTCGATCGCTAGAATCTTTAGAAGATGCTGAACTAAGAAGGCAAGAACAATCAGAGCGTCAGGCTACTTTTAGAGCATCTGAGACACCTTCTCAAAGTCAGCAAAGGCATCTTGAACAGACAGAGCGTCAGGTTGCTTTAAGAGCTTCCGAAACACCATATCAAAATCAGGAAAAGCGTCTTGAACAGGCAGAGCGTCAAGCTACTTTAAGAGCTTCCGAAACACCTTCTCAAAGTCAGCAAAAGCGTCTTGAACTGGCAGAGCGTCAAGCTACTTTAAGAACTACTGAAACACCTGCTCAAAGTCAGCAAAGGCTATTCGAAGAAGCGGAACATCAGGCCGCCTTAAAAGCCGCGGAAACATCTGATGAAACTCAACACAGACTCATTGAGCAAGTTGAACGTTAATTTACTATAAGGGCCTCTGAAACACCAGAACAAACACAGGCGTGAAGACATGCAAATGCACAGCTCCAAGCTGAACGTCGACAAAATTTTTAAAGAACCAATTGTTCAATTTTTAATGACGCAGCATTCAATTATAATCCGTCGATTGATTATAAAAATCACAGGTTAGTTGTTATCGGACTGATGGACAAGGCGTGTCGATTTTGCAGCGCTTTAAAATGGAAAGGTGAGACCGCAGGCATGTGCTGTTCCAATGGAAAAGTGTCTTTTCCGTTACTTGGGGAACCAGAAGAACCTTTGAAAACTCTCTTTTTATATGATGCTAATGAGTCACGGCGCTTTTTAATCAGGATCCGGAAATATAACTCATGCTTTCAAATGACATCTCTTAGCCCGATGTAAACAATTATTTCATCAATTTTTGGTAGACATGTATGTGAAGGTAGAAAGTGAACGTCTCCGTTATATATCTTTAAATAAAAAAAAGCTGCGCGTTGAGAATTATATACATTTACAAGATGCAGTTTCTAGCGACGCCAATGCCTCATCGCCCTCATCATTCGTTAACAGTCCCCGCTACCTACATGAGTACACACAAGACGTATTCATCTATGTACGAACTTACGTAAGACCTGATCTTTTTGTTACTTTTACTTGCAATCCCACATGGAAAGAAATAGCCGAGGAGCTAATGCTGGGCTAAAAAAGTACTGATAGACACGATTTAGTTACTAGAGCATTTAGATTAAAAGTATAAAAATAAATGTATGTAATTAAAAAAAGGGAAAATTTTAGGAGAGGTGCAGTGCTTTATGTATTCAATTAAATGGCAAAAAAGAGGATTACCGCATGTCCACATTCTAATATGGCTTAAAGAGAAGTTGCGGCCCAGCCAAATAGACGACATAATAAGCACCGAAATTCCGGATCCTGAGCAACATAAAGAATTGTATATTACCATCGTTCGAAATATGATTCACGGTCCATGTGGAGCACGAAATATAATTGCGCCATGTACGAAAGAAGGAAAATGTACAAAGAAATTGCCTAAACAGCTATTAAAATAAACAGTACACAATGACAATGGCTACCCTTTATACAGAGCAGCATGCAGAGCTCCCGAAGATGGTGGCAGGAAAGTTACAATCAAATCTCGCTCTGGAGCGTTCGAAACCTTAGATAACAGCTGGATTGTCCCGAATTCCCCCATTCTATGTATAATGTTTAATGCCCACATTAATGTAGAAGCATGTAGCTCTGTCTCTAAATAAAGGAAGCGACCAAGTAATATTTAATCTCAGGAGTGAAGGTGAGGCAAATCCCTTTAATGAAGTACAGACCTTTCAAGCAGGGCGTTATGTCAGCAGTAACGAGGCAGCGTGGCGTCTCCTTGGCTTCCCTTTACACTAAAGGCACCCAACAGTTACTCACCTTTCTGTGCACTTAGAAAATGGAGAGCGTGTATATTTCACCGAAAGAAATTTCCAAGAAAGAATTGCATCACCGCCAAAAACTACACTAACAGCCTTCTTTCAACTTTGTCAAATCTACCCCTTTGCAAAAACGTTGTTATATTCTGAAGTCCCCCGCTATTATACTTAGAACACATCTAGGAAGGAGTGGAAACGCCGTTTTCAAGGCCCGCCTGTTGCAAATTGGCCCGGTGTAAAGTCATCAGAAGCCCATGATCGTGTGTATACCGTCCATGTAACTAATTTTGAATGTTTCTGATTACGATTGCTGCTGCACCATGTTCGGGGTCCTACAGGATATAAAGACCTTAAAACTGTCAACGGTCAGGAATGCGCAACTTATAGAGAAGCATGTGAAGCTCTGCATCTTTTAGAAAACGATAATAACTGGGATGAAACCATGGAGGAAGCTGTGCAGTGCCAGTTACCAGCCTAAATTAGGGATATTTATGCAACTCTCATATCTTCTTGCGGGCTATCATGCGAACATGAAGCACTTGGAAAAATTGAAGATAAAGTAATGACAATGGTTGGCAAGAAATTAAGCGACTTTGGAATGATAAGCTCTCAGCGAACAACCGAAAATGAATGCAGCAGCAAGTAGCCGAATTTGTACCCCGCTTGCTTCCCGAACAAAAACGAGTTTTTGACAAAGTATTAAGACAAATTGAATCTGGAAATGGTGCACTTTTCTTTTTAGATGCCCCTGGAGGAAATGGGAAGACATTTTTGTTAAATTTGTTGTTAGCGCAGGTACGGAAAGATAAAAATATCGCTGTGGCCGTAGCTTCCTCCGATATAGCCGCCACGCTGCTAAGCGGGGGCCGCACTGCACATTCTGTTTTAAAACTCCCTCTAAATCTAGCCCAGGAAGAATCGCCGATCTGCAACTTTTTGCAAAAATAGTGCACGAGGTATAATGCTACGACAATGCAAACTTTTAGTGTGGGACGAAAGTACAATGTCGCATAAAAAAGCTGTAGAAGCACTAAATCGAACGCTCCAGGATTTGCGCTGCAATACCGATGTAATGGTAGGAATGGTGGTTTTACTGGCTGGTGACTTTCACCAAACTTTACCTGTCATTTAAAAGGGCACACCTGCAGATGAAATTAAAGCATGCCTCAAGTCGTCTATTTTATGGAACAAGGTGACAAAATTCAGTTTAACTACGAATATGAGAGTGC